TGGCTCCCCTTTGCTCTTAGGAAAAAGTGAAAAATCCTTAATTATGCCTGCATCATGTAGCTGCTGCCTCTCTCTGGCCTTACTCTCACCTTCCCTCTGTTTCAGCCACACTGACTTTGTTTGCCTCCTTAAAGGATCATGCTCCCTCTTAGCTCAGGACCTTTGCACATACTGTTCCCTCTGCGTAAACTGCCCTTCCCACACTTTCTTAAAATCTAGCTTAAGATCTAACTCATCTGTCCTTCTTTACGAATTCTTACAAACAACCCTAATAGTACTTATCACACTTTTATTTATAATGTGTGAGCATATTGCTAATGGTTGTCCTCCCAACTTGACCGTTAGCTCCATGAAGGCAGGGAGGGACCATGTTTGTTTTGCTCACCATCGGATCCCCAACACCGGCCACAGGACCTGGCTGACTCTTAACCTTCCCCTCAAGATCCCGCTCAAACATCTCTCTAAAGCCCTTTCTGGCTTCCTGCTTTGTCAATTCATGAACCAGTGTGGACGTCCATCACACATTTATTGCGCTGCCCTGCAATGATTTGCTCACGCATCTGCCTCACCACTAGTCTGTGGATTCCCAGAGGATGAGAACCACTGGCTTTGCTGTGCTGGTTTCCCTGACACCCAGTACGGCGCTTGGCATGTGGGAGATGACTGTGTGAATAAGTAAATGACTGTTAAGCCAGCTCCCTGAGCCTGAGTGCTGTCCCCCAAAAACCGAGGGGCCAAACAAGACGATTTTGTCTGTCTCTTCTCTAACACTGTGGTTCTGATATCACATAACCCTGCCTGTCAGCACCCCTCTGCTTTGTCACCTATGTGCCTTTAACCGTTGCCCTGGCAATCAACAAACCTCACTGCTACTGCAGTTCCTCTATTTCAATATGCAAAGAAAGCTTCGCATCTCTGGGCTTTCTATAGATTATGTAAAAAAAGAAAAGCCATTTTAATATCTCCTTCCTCTTTGACATGTTTTTTAGTTAGGTCTTTCTCATGTTTATGAAGCAACCTTTTTGTTTTCTAATTATTAAGGTGTATTTAAAAGATATAAAAAGTTATGAAGAATAACATAGTGGACACCCACAAATACACCCAAGTATGTGCAGCTGAGGAAATAAAATGTGACCCATGTACACAAGCCTTTTCTTTAGATAAGACCTATTACCACCTGTGGCCTCTCTAGATACAGCCATGTATTTCCAAGGAACTGAAAAATCACACAGCGCCTCCAGGACAGAGTCTGGTGTTCCTGTGCCCAGGCAGGAGGCTTTCATCCTGCATTCTCTTCTGAGGAAAATAGGTCTCTCTCCTCCCTTAGGCTTCAGTAGGCCCTGACCACATTCTCTTCAAGGACAGACTCGGAGACTGAGGATCCTAGAGGGGAAGAAATCCAGAATCCTATTCCCAAGCATCCTGCCCTGTGGGCTCCATGCGATATGGCTGTAAGGTCCAAACGCTGTGGGGAAGGCAGCTCAGAAAAGAAAAAAAGGAAACAAATAAAGGAGACATGAGCATTTGGAACAAGCTGGATATGTTTTTGTTCATTTTGAGGTCATCCAGAGGTGGAAATCATCTAGAAATTGCATCCCAGAAGTCAATTCAATCATTCTTTCATTTCTCTTCTGTAGACTAGACATGGAGCTAGATGTTGGATTTGAGTATGAATAGGATATGATTCATAACCTCAAGGAACTCACGGTAAGTGGAAGACTTAAAAAAGTCAACAAACACTTATGATATGGTGTGTGACAGGAGCCACCACAAAGGTGTAAGTGCAGGGTACTTAAGGCACTGGGGAAGTTTTCCTGGAGGCGACTGTTGTCCTGCATCATGAAGGATGGCATGTGCAAGACATGATGTATTCATAACGCTTGTAGGGAGCTGCAGGTGGTTCCACCTGTCTGAAGCAAAAGGTGGGAGGGGGCAGTGGTGGGCGATGTGGCCAGAGCGACATCACAAAAGCCTTGTGTGCTAACCTGAGGAGTGTGAACCTTCTGCAAGCTAGGGCAGCCACTGGAGGATCGAAGGCAGGGAAGAGGCCTGAAGAGAATGGGAGAGCCTTGTAAACGGCGAATGGGAGTAGTAGGACCAATGAGGAGGGAGTCGCAAGGTCAAAGCGAGAAGCCATGAGAGTTCAAACTAAGCTGGTGTTAAAGGGAAAGGAAGGGAGGCAAAATGGTAAGGATATAAGCATCCAATGGACACCGGGAGTGAGGAAAGGGAGGGTTCTGGGTCATTCTCAAGGTTTGGGTTTGGCTGAGTGAGAGCTGGAAGTGCTATTTATTGACAGAATTCCAGAAGGAAGGCAGACCTTGAAATGGTCTTTAGATGATGGGACCGAAGTTGAAAGTAGAAGGGATAAGACCCCCACAGAATCTTCAGGTGTAAAAGTCACTAGAAGCAGAAAGAAGGGCAGAGAAAGGTGAAGCAAGACTAGAAGGCAATAGGGCCTCTGATCACATACCCAATTTTCTGAGGTGACCCCCTGGCACAACGTTGGAGGACACAGCTCAGCTGAAGAGGTAGCCTTGAGGTTCCAGGGTTGGAGTCTTCGATGTCTATTTTAGCACCAACATAAAATTCAAGATGGACTTGACCACACCCCTAGATATCACCTGTGCGCCTCATTGAAGCAGCGCGATCTTTATTCATTTCATTTCATTTTTAATTTTTAGGATATTTATTTATTTATTATGGTTAACAAAAATCTAATACGTTTCAGCTATACACTTTAACAATACGGCATATATATATTTACACTGTGTGTTTACCTCCCATAGTTAGATTTCTTTCTGTTACCACGTATTTGACCCCCTTTACCCCATTTTTTTTTAAAGCAAAGTTATACATAGTTTAAATAATCTAAGCATCGTGTATCAAAAATATCAGTGGCTTAACCCCTTTACTGCTGAGAGCAGCACACAGGGGAGCCGTGTGTAAGGGAACTCTAGACTCAGGAGACCTGTCTTATTGCTGGTTCTGATGCTAATCAATTGCTGTGGGACTCTGATAATACACTCTGACTCTCTGGGCCTCAGTTTCCATATCTATAAAATGAAGTTAGGAATATATTCTGAAGAGTTTGGGGAGAGGACCATGATGACCTAGGGAAAAGAAACAGTGAGAGGCCTCAGGAGGCTCTCCAAGAGAATGGAGTTTCTGTACTCCCCGGAGGATGATGGGAGACACTGCTGGAAGTTCGAGAATAGTCGGGATGTTAAATTAGTGTAGAAATTCTTAGATAGGTATGAATTCCCTCTTCGAACATTCCACTATAATCCGTAATTTCTACCAAAAGGTGGGTGCCTCCAAAACAGTGTTCCCCCTCCTGGGAATCTGTGGTTCTGACCCCAGAGGGGTGCTTAAAGTTGGCTGCCTGTTGTAATCACCTGGGGAGCTTTACACGTGCAAATGCCAGGCTCTACTCCCAGAGATTGTGATTGGGGGCGTGGCAGAGGCATTGGTGATAAGACTACCCCATGTGATTTTAACATGCAACCCAAGTTGAGAACCGTTATCCTATGCTTTAAATTCTTTGCTTTTGGTTTGAGATTTAAAAGAAAAACGGAAAGCAGTGGCACCACTTAAATGTGCAAACGAATCACCTGGAGATCTTCTAAAATGCAACCTTTTGTTCAGGTGGTTAGGGGTAGGCCTGGGCTTCTGCCAGTGTAAGAAGCTCCCAGAGGATGCCCATATGCTGTCCCCAGGTGGCACTTGATAGCCAGCTAGAGCATGAATGAATACAGACTTGCATGATAAGTAAGTACAGTGCTTCAGGCCAGCTGGGTCCTTATGTAAGTTAACTTCACTTTTATGAGCCTCTGTTTCTGATGTATCAAATGCAGGCAAGCAATAGTAACCACATCACAGGAGTCTTGTGATGCTTAAATGGGATAATGCAGTAAACATGTTTAGCACAATACAACGACGTTAGCTTTTTAATTGTTAAGATAACCAGTAAAATAGGAATGCTTACTTACTATCTGCCAGGAATTTTTAAAGTGCTTTCATGTCTTAACTCATTCAAGCCCCAAAACAACCCCGTGAGGTGGTTATTATTGTTTCGTAGTCCCCAGAAACCGAGGCACGGAGAGATGGAGTACCTAAATTTACGTTATACTCGTAGGAATACCTAAGCTGGTATTTGGACCCAGGGAGAACGTGAACTCTTATCCTTTCACAGGGCTGAAATGAGTCAGTGTCAAAAGGCTTCTGTCCTGCAGGCCTGACTTTCTGGAGGCTAGGAGTTGAGGGCTTATCCTCTGGAATCGGATGGGACCAGCAGATGGCAGCCGAGGGCTACGTGGGTGCTGTGCATTTCATCACACAGCCGCCCGTAGCTCGTAAGCGTCTCGGAATCCCCACTCTCTCCTCCACCCTCAGGTCCTCGCCTAGGAGGGCGCCCTGGATCCGTCAGGACAGAAGAGCCCTACCTAACAGGTTCAAATCTGAGTTCTCCCATATAAGACTACGTCCGCACCAAAAGCAATCCGCAACTCCCCTTTACCGCAGGAGCGCAACCAGACCGCGACATCTACAAATTTCTCTTTACACCGAGAGCTCAGCAAGGGTTTGGGAGCCCAGCCAAGTGTGGAGAAAGTCGGGAATTCCTCTTGGATTCCTCAGAGCACTCTGAAGGCGCCGGGCGCTGGTGCACGCGCCCAGGAGAGCTGACGGGGGCGAGGGGACTCTATTTAGAGGGTTACTTCGGAGGGGCGGACAGGATTCTCTCTTGTGGCCTCCTGGGAGGGGGCAAATGAATATGAGGGGGCAAATGAATATGAGGGGCAGTGCTAGGGGTGGAGGTTAACCCGACGGTTTCCATGGCTCCCGGGGCGTGAAGGAGGAATGCACTCCGCAAACTGTGGCGAAACAACTGGGCTGCCCCGCCAGCCGGGCTGGAGAAGGCAGGAGGGAGGGAGGGCGGTGTGGGGGGAGGGAAGCCGGGCGGGACGGGGGCGGGGCGGTCACGTGCGCCCTAGGGGGCGAGGCCCCAAGCCGGCCCGGGAGCATACCGAGTCCCGCGAAGTGGCTGCGCAAGGAGCAAACCCTTTCCAGGACCGAGGGGCTGAACGTGGCCAGAGCGCCTTGGGGAAACTCAGGTCGCCCGCGGCCAGGACCTGGCTGAGGCGTCTGCGGACGACCTGCGGGACAGTGGTCAGGGACAGCGGGCCCCACGGAAAAGTGGGAGCAGAAGCTTGGAGGTGATCGTTGAGAGGCCCACTCGCGGCTTTTACGTAGGCTTGCGTCTCCATTTCTTCGGAGCAGCTTTAGGGGACCAGTCAAGGCTACTGTCCTTTAAGACTGCCTAAGTCCTCAGCACCTGTCCAGGGCTCCAGGAGACTCCGTGGTCATGGTGAATGAAGATTCCAACCTGGAGAAGCGCGATGGCACTCCTGAGCCTCAGTCCGCGCTCCGGGCAGACCCCAGCATCTCGGCCCACCCCAGCGTCTCAGCCCATCAAAGCGTCTCCGCTCACCCCAGCGTCTCCATCCACCCCAGCGTCTCTGCCCACCCCAGCAGTTCAGCCCACCCCAGTATCTTGGCTCAACAGGGTGGCTTGGCTCAACCCAGTATACCGGGCACCGAGGACCTCAGTGTGATCAAGGTGAGCAAGCGCCGTTGGGCAGTGGTCTTGGTTTTTAGCTGCTACTCTATGTGCAACGCCTTCCAGTGGATCCAGTATGGCTCCATCAGTAACATCTTCATGAACTTCTACGGGGTCAGTGCCTTTGCCATCGACTGGCTGTCCATGTGCTACATGCTGACCTACATCCCTCTGCTACTGCCAGTGGCCTGGATGCTGGAGAAATTCGGCCTGCGCACCGTCGCCCTCACCGGCTCGGCTCTCAACTGCCTGGGCGCCTGGGTGAAGTTGGGCAGCCTGAAGCCACATCTTTTCCCAGTCACTGTGCTGGGCCAAGTCATCTGCTCTGTGGCCCAGGTCTTCATCCTGGGCATGCCCTCCCGAATCGCCTCGGTCTGGTTTGGGGCAAACGAAGTTTCAACTGCCTGCTCCATAGCTGTCTTTGGCAATCAGGTGGGTAGAGAGATGAGTTTGTGGGTGTTCAGAGGAATGGGCCTCACTGTGGACTGAGTGTGTTACATTGTATCTAACTGCCCTTAACTGTGTGGGAGACTGTGATTTTCTGACTCAGCCGTGTTTGTGACTCTGGTGACTTTGTGGCTGGGTATGACTGTCAGTGAGTGATTGTGACTGGGTGACTGTGTAAGAGAAGTGCCAGGAAACAAAAGGCGGGGACCTTTTCTTTCCCCTCACAATTTCTCTTCCCCCATCAGAAAGCATGCTTCTGAAACATAGATGTTTTTATGATTTCATTCCTGAACCTGTCAGTTCACCAGCATAGACCTTTGACTTCAGGAAAACTATCTTTCCAGGGAGCAGACCCAGGAAGTCAAACTATTCTGGTATCAATTTGGCAGGCGTTTTTAGCCTGACCTACCAGCTTTCCTAGAGTGCAGTATCTCCTGTACTACATAGGACCACAGAGCGGTGCCCTGGTCGGGTTTGGCACTGTTCTTACCTTCTTTTATACACAGCTAAAGCCAGGACAGCGGGAACAATGCTTTGTACCAGACTCGGTCTCTGGGGTTTAGAGCCAAGTCCAGCAGGATGGAGCAGAAGTCTTGCTCTGAATTTCCAAAGACTAGAAGCCTTGGAAAGGCTAGAAAGCTCATCTCTTAATCCCTTCTCTTTCCTTCTTTTTGGAAGGAGCATCTCAAATTCTTTGCATCGCAATGTGGTTATGACCCAGAACGTTGGGCATGTTATGAATCCGACTGCCTTCTCTAAATATTTGGAGCAAACTATATATGGGGTCCTTTTTAATCTGGACCACCGCCTCCAGGTCACACTGCTTCCCAAGTACACTCAGTTGTGTTTAAAATGACCAATAACCCTTAAGTTCTTATAGGCCTGTTTTCTCTTACCTGTTTATTGCATTTAGAAAATTTAAACTTTCATTTAGAAATTTCTCATTTGGGTTAGAAATTCCCAAAACTTCTCGAAAGGCAAATTTTCATTCTGTTCATCTTCACCAGCAGGAAGTTAACTTGAGTTAAGTCCTGCCGCTTGGGTAATAGTGTAAGCAATCAATGAAACACAAACATAGAGGCCTTCTTTAGCACACAAACAGGCAACATAAAATCCTTTACCCAGTTTTCTTTCACCTGTGGGTTTGAATGATATTCTGAAGATTGAATTGATTTGAAGTCTGGGGATGAAACAAGATGGATCTTTTGTTCAGGGCAACTAAAATATAGATGTTGAGGGTGACATTTACCACTCTCTTATCCTCTAAAGTGATGTGACTGGGGCTTTTAACATCCCCGTTGCAGCCCTGCTGGTAGGTTTGACGTTATTGGATTTTTCCTTTACAGGAGAGTAAAGCTGGACTGCGGGGGTGGGGGTGCAGTGAATGGCAGGAACCTTCTAGCTTCCAGAGGAAAAATCTCCCTATTTGCAGAGAACAGGATACAGGCAAGGTCACTACAATCCTAACCCCTTTGGGGAGGGCAGTGGAACTAACTGCAAGAAGCCCTCAGGTAACCTGGGGAGAGCAGAGAATCCAACACTTGGTTTCCTTAACAAACATAAACTAATAGGTTTTCAGACCCCTCCTCACACACCTGTGTGGGAACTTAACTCCAGATATATCTTTAAAATTTAATAAGAATAGTTATTTATTCCCTACCCGTACTTCCCACCAAGGCCAGGACATGCTAAGAATTTTACATTTAAAAACACTGTGACAGCACATATTTGTATCACAGAGCCATCTATTTAGTTTGATCTTTTACTCAACCTACTGTGCTAAGTTAAAAAAAAAGTTATGAAAAAACTGAATGTTTATGCTCTGTGACATAGAGATAAATGTTTGGTTCTCAGCATGCATTTTAACCTTTCTTGCCGAGTAAAGATGGCTGAATGGAGAAAAAAATACTAGAGCACCTTGAACTGTGCTTAGAAAAAAGGCTCCACAAAGCTGTTAAATAGATTTCAAATGTAATTCCGCAGAATAATTCTTCATAGCCTGCAAACTTCATGCTGATCAGCAAAACTCCTGCATGCTGGTAATTCTGACCTGTTTCTTCTAGTGCTTCATGTTTGCTCCACACATGCACCAGCCCCTGCTTGCATTCAATCCGACATTCATTCATTCAACAGGCATTTACCTATGCGGGAGAGGAAGAAAATTTCTTTGACCCTTCTAGGTGCTTTTGGCTAGTGTAATTATTAAATCAACATGAGGCAGATGAACAAGAGAAAATTTAATTACATATGTACACATACATGAAAGAGTCAGAGACCCCACATGAGAGGTTCAAAGGTAGAAAGGTAAAATGAGGTGTATATGACATCCTGAGCCAAGCAAGGACTGAGATAAAATCCTTGGGGCTTCAGAAGGGCAGGAAGGTCATTGCAGGACAATAAGAAGAACAGATGTTGAGTAATTAAAAGTTTGCCCTGCCCCATAGATCAGTCATCAAAGATTATTTCTGATAATAGCTCTTATTATGGGCAAGGCCCCCAATTTAAATTCTTCTAGGTAGTTAAGGGAGGGGCAGAAATTTCTCCAGAACCTGCAGGGTCTCAATTACCTTTGGCTCAAAATAATCCATTTGCCAAAGTAGCACATTTTGGGGAAGGCTGTTCTGAACCCCTTCACCCAGCTCCTACCTTTTTTGCCAGACCCTGTGCTAGGGCTGCAAAGATAACCTCTGCCTTTGCAGAATTCTTGTACCAGACTTTTAAATTGTACCAGGTAGCAAGATTCAGATTAAAAAGAAAACAAAAAAGAAAAGATCAGAGCATAGAGGATTTATTTTCAGTTCTCTATGAGATTTTTAGTATCTTCTCTGCCTAATTGCTATGGAAAATTGAAGGGGAAGGAAACTAAATATCAAACACCTATTCTGTGGAAGGCAGTTTTTCATCTATTATTTAATTTTTCAATGCTGTGAGGTAAGTGAAATTGTCCCCATTGTTACAGGTGAGGAAATTGAGACTCAGATAAATGCAGCAATTTTATCTAGGGTTGGTCCTAGAGCTACTGAGTGTTAGAAAGGAGATTTGAACCCAATTTTACCTCCAAAGCCCATGTCAGTAATTGGCCAACATTGATTCTTCCCATAGATAGAGCATATTTTTTTTTAAAAAGACAGGATTCTGAGGTTTGAAATTTGTCTCCGTGTCTCAGGGTTGTTGGTGATGAAACAGTGTCCAGCAATTTTTTCCAGAACTTGAGAGCCTAGTTCCTGTCCTCTGTTTTGAAGTTTCAGGCATTAGCATTGCCTCCCTGGGGCTGCACTGTAAACTGCTGAAGGGCTGATACTGCTGCTTTGAGCCTAGCATGGAGGGGCACAAGAAGATGGGCTTAAGTCTCTGGGAAGCAGAAACCAGTGAATCCCGAGCTGGAGTGAGAAAGGGAAGGCGTCTGAGACTGCAGCGGAGACTCTCCTGGTTGGCTCTGACCAGTTACACAGGTGGTAACAGGCTGGCATTTTTAGCAACACTTGCTCCTTTGTTTCAAGGGAAAATGATCTGTGCTGGGTGGCGGGGCGGAGGTTGAGTGATATGGACACATAGTTATTCTGCAAGCGGTTGGCAGAAAGCCTTGTGTTAGAGTCTGGTGATAGCTTGGTGGCACAGGATGAGGGAGATATGAGAGCTGAGAAAGACCCTCAAGTTAGCTTCAGTCCCAGTAAGGAGTCTACAGTCCCTATGCAAGAAGGGACTTCCTCAAGGATCCTTGGGCAGCTCATAGTTCAGTGCCACCCAATAACGGAGTAGGAGAGGATAAGTTTGCTTTCAAGGTAAGGAAAATACAGTAACCTTACAGGATCAGTTCTATGGAAGCCACAGCTGGCTGGGCTGTCAAAAATGGCACTGTCCAATAGAAATATAATGCAAGCCACATATCTAACTAAATTTTCTAGTAGCCACATTAAAAATATATAAAACAAATTTAAAAAAGTAAAAAAGGTGAAATTATCTTTAGTACTATATTTAACACAATATATCCAAAGTATTATTTCAACATGCAGTCAATATAATAAGATTACTAACAAGCTATTTTACATTCTTTTTTCGTACTGAGTCTTTAGAAATCATCACGTATTTTACACTTACGGGCTAACCACTTTTGCCAGCAGATGTTGGGACATGTTCAATAGCCAGGTTGGACAGTACAGGTCTAGAGCAGTGATACTATTTGTAGGGGAGAAAAGGTTTTACTTGACCCCCTTATGGTCCCTGGCTGGATCTGAAATTAAGTTGACAAAGTCATATTAACAGAAAGTCATCCAAATTTATTTAATGTGTTACATGATGCAGGAATCTTCATAAGGAAATGAGGAAACAGTTAGACCTCCGTACTTTTTTGCTGAGTTCGATGATGAGTGGATAGTCTTGGAGGAATACCACCGGTTAAGGAGTTTGAGGGAATTGTAGCAAACTAGAGGAAACTGGGCGAGGTCTGTTTGTTTGGATTCTCCTTGGCAGCTTTTGTTTGTCTTCAGAGCTAAGGATATTCCCTTCCTTCAGGTCAAGGGGGGGCACTTCACGGGAGGCTTTGAAGGAAGGTCTGTCTCAGGGAAGAAGAGCAAGAAGCAGGAGGAGGTTAGAGTGACCTTGCTTCTGCCGTTTTCTCGAACTCCTTCAGCTTAAAGTATTCAATATGCCAGGGTGCTGTAATCGGGGTAGTAGGTCCAGAACCCTATCATATTTCAAGCAGCTGGAAATCAGCTTCTAGCAGATAAAAATGGACTTTAGGAAACTGACTGCAGCCTTGAGGAGGCTGTGCTTGCTGGACTAGCTGATCATGTGGTATCACCGAGAGAGGCCGAGTGTTTACTGATTCAGGAGTCAGGGTCTTGAGGGAGGTGGTCAGCCTACTCTTCCAAAACCATTGCCACTGGGGTGTCTTAAAATCTAGGCTAATTATTCTGGATCATCTAATGTCAGATGCCTTTCAAGGTCTGAGTGAATTTTTCGAGGTGAAGGCAAACTCTTGTTCT